CTTGCATCTAAGACTTTCCAAAAACTATTTCTGAATTGCATTATTTCCTGAAAATTGGTAAACAACTATAAGCACATGGCAGAGTGAGAAATATTATACCGAGAGTATAAGGGACACGAAATAACCATGAATAGTTAATTAGGCCAAAACATTTACATAACTCAGTTTGGTACATAAATCATTTGAGTAGCAGAAAACTGAAATACATAAATTATGAAAATAAATAACCATAACCATAACTACGGTACTGAACAGAATAGAACAGAGGTTACAGAAGTGACAATCAGAACAGAGGTCAATGGATCCATAACAAACAGAGGACCACAAAGTGGCCAAACAGAGGTCAATGATTATTTAAGTCCCCCAAGGCGTGGGTCTCCCGTGGTGGTACTTATAAAACATAATTGTTTATAAGGTCATAGTCAAATATATACTAAAATTTAAACAAACATATCCATAAGTTTCATTTTAAACAAATAGAGTTTAGCAAATAACCCACGTAATTGAAATATTAATATATTTTATAAAACCTAACTTGTATAAAATAAATTATGGTAAGTCAAAACATACATAAAATATACTATGGTGACTCAATGTATAATATAACTCACCTTAATATTGAGTCTTACTAATTGCTTTCTATTTTTGTTGTACAGCCCTGCTACAGAGCCCGAAAGCCCCGACTCGAATTTGGCTCGAATTTAAGAAGGAGGAAGGAGGAAGAAGAAGAAGAAGCAGAACTGGAGGGGCCATCAAAATCGAGGCGGAGGTGGGGGCGGAGGCGGAGGCGGGCGGAGGCAGAGGCGGAGACGGGGCTGAGCGACGAGCTGCCGACGAGTTGCACTGCCGACGAGCTGTGTTCAACGATGCCGACGAGCTGTGTCCGACGAGCTCTGTCTCTCGCCTCTGCTCTGCTCTCTCTCGCCTGTGTTCAACGAAGAAGAAGAAGAAAAGAAAGAAAGAAAAGGAAGAGAAAGAAAACAAAGAAAAAGAAGAAAAAAAAAAAGCAAAATGACGTCGTTTTGCCATTCGAACCAAAATCGAGCCACGAATTTCGAGCTACCAGTCATTTTCCTTTTTGCAATTGTAAAGTCTTCTCCAGATGCATGTTGAAAAGGAAAATTCGGATAATTTATGTTTGTGGACTTCCTTTCTGGGTTCTTAACTTTTCTATTGCCATCTATTTTAAAATTGTGCTAGATATATCACATGTTATTCTCGGTAAGTAAGTGCCCAACAAAAAAAAATAAAAAATAAAAAAAACTGAGAAATATTATGCGTCTTTGATGACGTCAAGATTTACAATTGATTTCTTTATTTGGAGCTAATTATGGAAGAATTAATTAAAATTAATATTATTTTGTCATATAATTTGGTGATACAAAATGATGACATCGTAATTATATGCATATAAACTAGGAACATTTTTAATTTAGTGTACGTTCTAAAAAATAATTACAAATCAATGATAAAGATAGGAACAGACTTAAAATTTCAACATAGAGTAGGTGAATAGAATTTTTAAAAAGAAAATATCAATTATAATATCAATTTTTACTACATAAAATATAAAAAATAATATAAAAAACGTAAATAAATAAACATGTTCTTTTATATTCATATTGAGTTATAAAAAGATAGCAATCGTAAGATATTCTATAGACACTAGCAGTGAGAAACTATATATATTTTAAATATTTTATTCAAATTACTAACTTTTTTACTTTGAATCCTATATTTCGGCCTCTTTTGGAAAGTGGGTTATAATCTACTTTTCGAATTATAACTCACTTCCTCTCTCACAAAAAAGTTATTTATAAGCTGTTTATAAGCAGTTTTTAACCAAAAAACTGATTTTGACCATCTTTCCAAATTTGTAGATATATTAACTTTTATTAACAATTTAATTTTTGAAAAATTAGAGGAACCAAATATGTGTAATTTAAAATTAATTAATACTGGATGGGCGTTGTCTCTATAAACAAACAAGATTAAAAATTCCCTTATAAACACTTGGAAAAAAATAACACTACAAATTAATTCAAATAATGTTATGAGTACACGTTTTTATAAAATAATACTTTTCAAGAAGATACTTTACCTTAATTTTAATTGAATCCCCTCACTAATGGACGATGAATGTGATATTCCGAATTAATTGTTCTATTTAGTTAGATACTGAGTTATCAACATAAAAAATAATTAGTCATTTTTTTTTTTTTTGGATAATTTGAAGATAGAATTTTTGTAAAACTTCTCAAAGAGGTATAAAATTAAGTAATATATATATATATATATATATATATATCAACAATGTTTGTTGTGACAGCACAGTGCTGTCACAGCACCTGCCCCGCGTCCTCTTGTCACTGGGATGTTAAGAAACATACGTGACAGCTGCATCATTTAGTCATCTTCATTTTAGGTAGTTTTGTTTTTTACATTTTTGGTAAGTTTTCATTTTTATTTAATTTTTAAAATCTCTAACATTACTTAACTAAATGCTCGTGCGAGATTTACAATGTTAAATAAAAAATTTAATAGAATATTTGAAAAGAATATATTTTTAATTTTTTTGGGTGGGGTAGTTATCGTTGGTATTAAGGAATTGTTTGAAATGATATAAATAAACATATTTTTAATTTTTTTATTAAAAAATATAAAAAAATAATATAACTTTAAAAAATAAAAAATAAAATAAAAATATATACTTATTTTAATTTATCCCAAACAATCTCTAAATACACATTAATTTTAATGCTAGTAGATATGATAGTGTGAGTGCAAAATAAATAAAATAAAATAAAACGTTATGAAGTAAATTTTACATAGATATAAGATTTACACAAATCACATATATATGGAAATTAGAAATTTAATAAAAAATTTAATAATTTATTGGGCAAATTACAAACACTCCGCTTGAGGTATGGTGAAAATACAGATTTGCCTGAGGTTTGAGAAATTACAAATTACTTTTTGAGGGTCAAATTTTCATAACAAATTAAGAGAAATTAGGGAGAATTTGTATGAAAATAAAAACCTCAAAGGACAATTTGTTATAAAAATATAAACCTCAAAGAGCGAGATGTAATTTTTTAAATTTCAAAAAAAAATCTATATTTTTACCAAATTTCGGGAGGATGCTTGTAATTTGCCCTAAACCTTTTTATGATTTTTTTGATGACGTGGAAAATTAACATTTAGATGTTATTTGTTTGTCAATGTTTTTTGTTTTTTTTTTTGTTTTTTATATTAATTTGTTTTTTATTTTGTTTTTTTTTTTTTACTTTTTTAATGCATTAGTGCTATTAGTGGTGAGCACATTACTTTTTTTAACTCATAAATAAACACTTACATATTTACGATACAAATCCACCTGTCAGTAAATCTGGCAAGACATCTGAGTAGGCGTATGTCACAGCTACGCTACAGACAGCCACATATAAACACCATCCAACACATTAATCACTTGCAATCAATCACTTTCTCGGCCACTGGCCCCAACCCAACAACACAATCACAAGCCACTGCCTTTACTTTACTCTCCTCCGAGAGACACAGAGACAGATCGAGAGAGACTCTCTCTCTGGTTCCAATTGCAACCATGCAGAGCCCCCAAAGCAGCTGTGGAAGCAACGGCGGCGACGGTGACGGCGACGACGGAAATAGTGGCGACTTTTGTCGTGAACTTACACCCTGCCGACTACCTTCTCCGATTAAGGTTAGTAGCAGAAATCCCCAATCTGATGAGCAAGTTGTTGATGTTGATCACTCCCAATTAGGTTTACCTCACCTTCACGATTCGCTTATCCAAGAAATTGTTCTCAGAGTGCCCGTCAAATGGGTCTTTAGGTTCAAAGCTGTGTCCCCAAACTGGCTCTCTCGAATTTCCGAACCCTCGTTTTCTCAATTGTATGTGTCTCGGAAAATCAATTTCAGAATCCTTTATAGGTACGTATACGTATCGCATTTTCGGCAAATTCTCGAGCGTCTGGATCCCGAATCGCCTGATGTGTACCCATCTGAGAATTTCTCTGTGTTGTTTCTGTCTACTCACCAAGAACACCAACAACGCAGGAAACTGTTTAAGATCTTGGCAACGAGCAAAGGCTTGCTTCTGTCTTGCTTGGTGGCTCCTTTAACTTACTATATGTGTGACCCTGTAACCACACAATGGGTTACTTTACCCAAACCCCCAGAAGGTGGTCTAAATCTGCACCCCTTTTTTATCGGCGAGGGCTTGATTGCTTTCGCTAATCAGGATAATATGGTCACTAGCTACAAGGTGGTTCGTGTTGAATGGCACCCTGTAGAGTCTGTTTATCTCAATTTCGAGGTCTTCTCTTCGGAGACCCGTAAATGGGGTTGCTATAGTTTTAATGGGGTAATGCATTGGTTTGCCTATGGACATCGAATTGTAGCCTTTGATCCTTACAATTTTGAGGAATGTAGACTGATCGATTTGCCCAATTATAGAGACATGGAAAGCGAAAATCAATATGATGGATCTTACCATTTGTGCGAGGAGTGCCAAGGGATGCTTAGGTATTTTGAGGCAGCTCCTGATATCACGGAGGATTTCTGTTTTAGTATGTGGATTATGAGAGATTATAAAAAGGGGGAGTGGAATTTAGTGCATCGAGCTACACGTGGTGAAATTTGGTCGGATGATCCTCACATAAGTAGCTATTTATTTCATGTTCATTTCATTCCGTTGGCATACCATCCATTTAATTTGGATATCGTGTATTTAAGATGTGAGGAGAGATCTTGTATTGTCGCTTATAACATTAAGACAAAACGGTTGGAAGTTTCTTGTATTCCAGTTGGCATCGATGAAAACCTTTCTTGGCGCGTGGTGATTCCATTTGTGCTCCCAATGTGGCCGACACCGCTTCCTAAACGCGTTAGGAGGGGTGTGAAGCGTTCAAGGTCTAGTAATGCCAGTAGTACATGTTGACTTGAGCTGCAGAGCGATCCTGTATGGTCACATAATAATCCAGTCGGCATTGTAGAGGATGTTTCTTGGCGCGTGGTAATGCCATCTGTGCTCGTTCACTTGACTGACGACGTTCTCAACCCTCTCAGATGGTGATTAAGTTTTCCTAAATTATGTATCTTGTTCTTTTTTTCTTTTTTTTTTCATGTTATCAATAAATTGTACTGCCTATAAACTGTTGTTACAACTGTTTTATCAGTTACTCTTATGAACTTCCTTTGTTGAGGACATGTTACCTGAGATTGTGTCTGTCATGAAGAGAAGGAAAGTGTGTACAAAAAAATGGACAATATTAAGTGCCATTACTAGTTTTTAATGGCGATCAAGAAGAGTTTTTTCTTTTTGTGATGGTTTCAATTGAATTTCAACAATAATACATAGACTAGACAGGTTTTACCAATTTTATGAGTAGATCCTGAAGGTGCCCTTTAAACATAATTAATACAAGATGAAAGGCAGACCGATATATTTACTATTTAAATAGCTTTTAACTCAGTCACCTAATCTGCATGGTAGGGTGGCTGGATTGCTCACCGTAGTGCGGATTGGCGGATTGATGAAGAAAATGGGCAAATCCACAAATTGTGGCTGTCAAATTCGTGAATCTACACCAAATTCCCTATTCACCAATAATTAGTGGCCACGTGGTGATGGCTGTGCTGTGCCTATTCTGCACTGGCCCACCCGTACAAATTCTTTTATGTGCTAAAAGGACAAAAAGTTAGTAACTAGAAGAATTGATCTGACAACTTCAAATATGAAACTAGAAACGACAAACCACCATACCACTATGTATGTGTTAACCACATGTCAACCTTTTCATTTATTACTACAATATATTGTTGTGTATGATGTATTAAAATATATATGTATGTACACACTCTAGAGCCTCTCCCGCTCTGAAGGTATTTTCATAAAAGATGCTCTCAAGCTCCTGTACCTGCACCGCGAACACCTTTTGGTGACTTAGGGTCTTAATAACGTGTTTCATGATTTACTTTCTGGAAATAGTAACCCACAATTTTCTAGAAATTTATGTTGGGTTGTACATTCATTTTAAGAAAATACATGAATATGTTTAATAGGTTGCATAAGAATAGAAAATGGTTTCTAGAGGCGTGTGATTTATGTAACTCGAGTTTCTATGTAGTCCTATAAAAAGAATATGGTAGGATGATTATTTTTAAGTGAAGTAAAAGGAAGGAGATTAATAAAATAGAAATATTTTGTCTGTGTTCTAAATACATATTGAAGGAGCTCTGTATGGCTAATACAGTTGTATATCTCCTTGCATAGACATACCCATTATTAGTACAGTTTTTAATATTAGGCTTCTACTGCCCCCAACAAATTTGCTGTCAAAACCAAAGTGAGTCTTTCAAAATTTTCCATGATACAAAATTGAAGATAAATTTTGGTAGCTAGAAAATGTTAACCAAGGGTCTGGAAAGGCGAGAAGAGAATTGAGAAGCTAGCAAGTGCTTCACCAAAAACAAAAGAATGAAACCGAGTAAATGCCTGAAAAAAGGAAAAGTAGGTTTGTGTGTTTGCCATGATGAAACGATTGGTATCACTAAAAGATAACAGAAGCCACAACTCACAAAATGAAAGAGGATATATCAAAGTATACCTAGAAAAAATGATTGGTCATCATCAAAAGATGGCAGAAATAGAAAAATCAATAGCAACAACTAGAAAATTGATAACGGATTTGTCAAAGGACACCCGGGAGTTGAATCAAAGAATGGGGACCAACCACCCATTATATGAAAAGGCCACAGACCTTGGGAAGAAGTTTTCCATAATCATGAAAATGGATGAAAGAGCAAAAAGAGGCAAACAATTTTTTAAAAAGATGGATGTTAACCATGTTGCAACGAAGAAGATGATTCAACAAACTAACAGAAAAATGGATCAATTGTGTTCAAAGAAAAGCTTGGCAAGCCGGGAAATTAGGCACATCAAATACAAAATAGTTTTGGGCATGTTTTGAGAAAATTGTGAATTAAGGATGGGTGCTGGATAAAATAATCAATTTTCTAGGAGGGGGTAGATTGGGTACAAACCTAACCTTTGACATAATTTGCACAAAGTGGTTGTTCTCAGGTTCGAACCCACAATATCAAGATTAGTAGGTTGAGTTTTAACTATTGAACTAGTGGTTAAATGAAAATACAAGGCTTATCTTAAGGGATGCATTTTCCTATTTAAAACACTGCAAAGGAATGAGAGAGTAAATATATATTAGTACTACTCCTGTGCTACCAACCTACAACTAATGTAGCGATACTAAACCATGCTTTTAAGGCACTCCCATGAAGGTTGCCACCATTATTATCTAGTTATCTTGAAATTCTCTGTGGATGAATGCAGCTCTATCATCTCAATTCACTTTATTTTCTCTAGCTTAACTGGTTTTGTTTAAGAGGGGAAAAAAACTTTTGAACCCTCCATGTAATTCATCACCATTGTTGTCCAATGTAGACTCTAGTCCTCACTAATACAGTTCTATCAACTTATTCATTTATTTCTTATTACATAATTTGAGTGCAATTCATCTGATGAATGCCTTTTTTTGGTAGGTAATAATAAACTGAAGATATACCTTGCCTGTGAAAATGCAAAGTTCTGCAACTAGTTACACGTCATCCATTGCAGGTGAGGCCATGAAATCAAGTTATGTAATATTTGAATGACAGTATTATTACACTTGAATTGTTGCATCATACTTTTTTTTGAAGGCTTTACGGCATTTAGGGTTTGAGTGTTCGTCTTATGGTGTGTCGGAAGACCATAAGAAACAAAATATGTCAAAATTCCTCATTTGAGTTTGGGGAAAGAGATTTTTTTTATTAGATTTCTAGAATTGTAATTGCATGAAATGACTTTCTCAATCAATATTGTACATTAATTGTTCATTTTCAAAAAGATCTAGTTAATTCCTCCACAACAATGCACCAACTTACATACAGTATATGGGATATGGAATATGATAAATAATAATGAAAAAAGAACTACACCCTGTTCAGTCCCATTTGAAGGGGGTCCGTAACGTTTCCTTTGGCATAATTTGGACAAAGTGGTGGTTCTTAGGTTCAAACCCACTATCTCAAGATTAGTAGGTCGAATTTAACTATTGAACCAGTGGTTAAATTAAATACTACACTTGTCTTATGGGACTAATGCATTTTCCTACATAAAGCACTGCCAAGGAATGAGAGATTGAAAATATATTAGTACTACTCTTGTGCTACCTTACAGTATATGGGATATGGAATGTGATAAATAATAATGAAAAAAGAATTACACCCTGTTCAGTCCCATTTGAAGGGGGCCCGTAACGTTTCCTTTGGCATGATTTGGACAAAGTGGTGGTTCTTAGGTTCAAACCCACTATCTCAAGATTAGTAGGTCGAATTTAACTATTGAACCAGTGGTTAAATTAAATACTACACTTGTCTTATGGGACTAATGCATTTTCCTACATAAAGCACTGCCAAGGAATGAGAGATTGAAAATATATTAGTACTACTCTTGTGCTACCTACCTACAACTAATGTAGAGATACTAGCTATGACCCATGCTTTAAGGCACTCCCATGAAGGTGCCACCATCATTATCTAGCTATCTTGACATTAGCTGTGGATGAGCGCACAGCTCTATCACCTCATTTTCTTTATTTTCTCTAGCTTAATTGGTTTTGTTTAAGAGGGGAAAGAACTCATGAACCTCTCCATTAATTCATCACCATCATTATCTAATATGGACACTAGTTCTCCACTAATACAGTCCTACGTATCACCATAATTTCAGTTTGATCACATCTGACGACATGCCTTTTTTTTGGTAGGTAATAATAATCTGAAGATGTGCCTTGCCTGTGAGAATGCAAAGTTCTCCGCTAGTCACATATCATCCATTGCAGCAGGTGAAGCCATGAAATCAAATTGTATAATTTTACAGGACTGTCATCACACTTGTATGGTTGCATCAAATATTTTTTATTTCTATTGCATGCTGCATCAGAAATTTGTCCTTGATGTATTAGTATTTTGAGTGGCATGTTATGAACCATTGCATTTTCTTCTTCTAGGGACTGATTCTTTTAAGCTGAGCTTATACACTTGTTTTAAGAAGCTGTTAATTTTGCAACTCATCAATATATTCGCACTTTTGAGAGTATTTTTTTTGCATTAGAGTTGACATCCACTTCATTTCTCTTATGTAGGATAATATTTTGAAAATCCAAGGAGTTTATGATGAGCACATTTGTTTGCACTATTGTGTATTTTCTATAAGGGCATACATACAGAGATCTGGAGGCTATTCAAAGGTATTTTTGTTAATTGGGTCATTGTTATTGAAGATCCTTATGGGTATATCATGATTGCTTGATTTTATTGTTGCCATGATGACTAGGTACTATAAAACTCTTTACAGTTGTGGTTTCTATTAATGAATGAGGCGCCCAAATTGCTTACACTTGCCATGATGACTAGGTACTATAAAACTCTTTACAGTTGTGGTTTCTATTAATGAATGAGGCGCCCAAATTGCTTACACAGGCATATATTGGGGGGAATTCAAGCTTGAATTCTACATGAAGAAGGTCCAATTAAAGAACCAGAAAGATGCTGCTTCTACTCCTGTGCCTTGGAGCTATTTGAACATTTTATTTTCGTATGTTGAATGTAAATCAATTATATCAAACATTATTTTGTGATTGATCATAAGGGCAAGTTTTAATGAATTATTGTTGCAAGAGAAACAGATATACATATTTTATTGTTTTAATTTCTTAGACATTTACCGGCGTTGTGTGGAAAATGCCACCAAGCGTCGTTTCAAAAAACTGTTTGCGAATGCCACTAAAAATATTGTAGCATTTGTTTTTTCGTTTTTTGTTTTTTAAATGTTGTTGTCGTCGTCGTTGTTTTTTTTTTATTTTTTGCAACAGAAGTCGCATGAAAAATTATTATCACAACTATCTTTAATATGATCAGTTGTGAAAAAACCTGTATAGCGATGCTACAAAAATTAGTATAGCATTTGTTTTTTTCTTTTTCTTCATTTTTTTCCGACAGATAATTGTCGCATAAATTTATTTGCAGCAATATAAAATTATGTCACAACTATCTTTAGTATGATATCATTTCTTTCATAAGCTGATGAATATGGAATAAAATGATAAATAAATTAAAATATAAACATGTAATGAAATATTAAATAAATTAAAATTTTAAGAGAACCTATTATGATTATGTATACAATTTATTCAATTTTTTTAATGTATATTTGGAAAAAGTATGGAGCCATGTTGAGGGACCTAACCTAACTAGTAAACTTTGTCTTTTTAATGGGAAGGTAAAATCAACACCTTTAACTTAGGAGGGTTTCTAATATATATTTTCATTATACTAATTCATATATATATATATATTTCCATATCTCAAAATAAATTAAGGCCGTGATACCATACTAACAAGCTTTTTTCCTCGAATTAAAATAGCAGCTGTAGTAATAAAATTATTACCAGTTAAATTACACTAAATGTTATGATTCAATTCTATTTTTGATCTATTTAATATATTATCAGAAAAAATGACTATCAAATTTATTATTAATCTAAATGCGATTCAGATTAATATTTTAGAGTTAAGTAAAAGTTTGGAGGTGGACTAACCTCACTTGAAGAGGGTGGCTAACGTAATCTAATATCAATCGGCCACATTAAACTCATTAAAGTTATTAATTCATACAAAAAGTTTAAATAGGAAAATATAAACTCGAATAAAGCGATAGTCATACGATACTAATTCAACATATATTTATCAATATGTATTAAAGCCTGTGTCGTGATTAGAAAGTCTTTCCTATAAATCCCACACCATCATACCCATCCACCTCCACTTCCATTATCCCATAATTGTCGCTGATCACCCCTCCACAACCACTAACGGTTTGTCAGTTTCATTTATTTGAGCATGTTTTTCATATTCAATCAACTCACTTAGATCTATTTAACAAATGCCATACTTAATTTAACCATCAAACTTCTGCGTTCTTACATAATAACAATTTTAACTATACCAAACTTTTTTCATCTGCCGCTTCTTTAAAAAATAGTGGTTAAATGATTCATAGCAATACTCACTTCATCATGATTTAAGCACATATTAGAATC